CGGCCAGCGCTCCCCCCAGCGTGGCACTTGGGATGGTGGCAGGCAGTCCTCAAAGCCACCGTGGGCTGCCAGTCTGGTAGCTGTCCTCCCCAGGGAACCCTGCTGGGTCACCGTGTCCATGCCGGCCACTGGGGCGGGTGCATGGCTCTGGGATTTCGAGGAGGGCCAGCCCCTGGGATCCTGTCCTGTTCTGAGGCTCAGCCGCGCCTGGCTCCCCAGATGAAGGGCCCTTCCCACACCCCCGCCCTCTCTCAGAAATAGCTATCCCGAATTCCCGGAGCCCAGGGGGAACAGAGGGCTGCTGTACTCTGCCCCATGGAGCTGGCCCATTGAGGTCCGGGTCCCCTGGAACCCTGACTCCTGCCTGGAAGAGGGGGTGGAGGGGGTGGGATGGGGGGCCGAGGGGCACAGTGGGCTGGGGGTGGGGTGCTGGAGGACACAGGGGCACCGCTGGGACAGACAGGCCGGCGTCTGCGGAGTGAGGGACACCTATGACCCAGAAGGCCATGCAGGGCCACGCCGGGCCACACACAGCCCGTCTCCCTTACCAATGCGCTCTCCAATCTCGGCAGCTCGCTGTCCCCAGATGCCATTCACCCCAACCAGGAAAGAGTCCCCAGGCTCCAGGAGGTTGAACAGGGCGGTCTCCAGGGCGCAGTGTCCGGAGCCGCTGACCGCCAGTGTGAGGGCATTCTTAGTCTGGAACACATACTGGATGCCCTGTTTGATGTCGTCCATGATCTAGGAGGTGGGCACGGGAATCAGAGCTGCTGCCCGGCTCTGCCCCGCTGTGGGCACCCCCAGTGGGGGCCCACCTGCCCGAGAGACTTACCTGGAACATCTCCTTGTGCATGTGGCCGATCACGGGCAGTCGGCCAGCCGCCTGGACCCGAGGCTGCAGGTTAGAGGGGCCCGGCCCCAGCAGAAGCCGGCTGGGGACGTGGAGCGGTCTGCGGAGGGTGTCAGGGGGCTGCACCAGCAGCGGATGGGAGGCCATGCTGCAATCCAGCCTGCTGCGCGGGGCCCAGGGCACACTGGCCTTGGTCAGTGCCCGGAGCATTCCCAGCGGGTCCTGCGCTGGACTCAGAGGCCAGGACTGGTGGATAGGGCCCTGCCCACAGGTCATTTAAACCCCCATCCATGTTTATCCTGCTGCCAGAATGCCCAGATATCGAGCCTCACCTCGGGGAGCGGAGCCTTTGGACTCCGGTCAAAGATAAACAGCGTGGAGAGGCGTCCACTTGCTCCTCCAGCCTCGGCCACAGCCAGTGACCTGCTGGACTGCAGTGTGAAAGGTGCTTCTGAAAGGGTCTCGGACTGATCGGATACGGTGGTCCAGGGCCCCTCGCGTTTTTTCTGACTAAATATTTCAACTCTGTCCTACCTCCGAGTTGTTACATATCACAGCACACTTTAAGTACAGCGGTTTGCCCGGCAGAGGCCTGCGCCGTGAACCGGGCACTCACAGCATGAAAAGGCACCATTACAAAGATGCTGCTTTACACTCAGGCCGCCGTCCCTCAAACACCTTCCAGCTTCTTTTTTTTTTGGCGGGGGGTGGGGGAGCGTCTGGTCGTGGGGCCTGAACTCTGGGCCTGGGCGCTGTCCCTCAGCTCTTCAGCTCAAGGCTAGCGCTCTACCACTTGAGCCACAGCACCACTTCCGGCTTTTTTCTTTTTGCTTATGTGGTGCTGAGGAATCGAACCCAGGGCCTCATGCATGCAAGGCAAGCGCTCTACCACTGAGCCACCTTCCCAGCCCCACTTCCAGCTTCTTGAGACGCTGCTTCTTCCTCTGTCTTCGGGGCCTTCAGTCATCGTTGAACCACACCTTCAGTCCTGTGGCTTTGTTTCGCTCTGGGAAACACGTGATTGGATGAACTCTCTGGCTGTCAGGTCCACATTCCCCGCCCTCGGTGCTGACAGCTTGGTCCCTGCTCTGCCATGCTGGCACGCTGTTTGTTAGCCTGTTTTGTTTATTTACCATCACCATCGACAATCCTATGTACTGGTCACGTGGGAACAAATGGTCATGAATGAAACGGAAAGCACGCAGACTCGGGGAGACACAGGACCAGGGAGAGCAGCCTCCAGGACACCCGTGGCCACGTGGACAGGCAGGACTGCGCCAAGGTCTGCCCAGGGGGTGCCCGTCCGTGTGAAGCTGAGGCCCATCGAGTCCTGGACGCCACCAGCCGAGAGACACAGTGGATCACAGACACAGAGGCCGGGGAGATGCCACCCACCAGGCCTGGGTGGTACACGGGCTCTGTCATCACAAATCCACATGCTGAAGCCCAGCTCCAGAACCTAAGAACAAGGCTGCCTGTGGAGACACTGAAGAGAGGCAGCCATCAGGTTAAACAAGATCAGGAGGGCAGTTTCTAACCCGGTGTGGCTGGGACCCAGCCTTGGACAGCGGGGTGACTACAGGAGGAGGCTGGAGAAGGGGGGCTCTACAGCCAAGGAGGGAGGCCCTGGAGAGGCCAGTCTCCATCCTGACTCTGCCATCCTGCCCTGGGTAGAGGAGGGAGGAGAAACGCATGTCCTCTGCCAGCCCGCCCCACCACCGGGCAGTTCAGCCCCTGGCTGCTTGAACAGATGGGCCGTGGGGCGTTACCGGGGCACGGGTCTGAGGAACCCCTCCACCCCGCCCCCCGCGGAGGGGATGCAGTCAGGCTCGGACTCCCCAGCTCCCCTCCACCGGCACTGCGTGGGAGCTAGCGCCACCTCGTGGCTGCAGGGCTGCCCCAGCTCACTCGGAGGAGCAGAATCTACTCTTCCTCCAGGCAGTGGGCTGGGCGGGCATGGAGTGAATGCTGTGGCTCAAGGTTCTAAGTTCTCGTCCATGGCGGCTGGGCCGTCATCCGCAGGCCGGGGTGGGCCGAGGTGGGAGGCTGTGTGGAGAGACTGGGCCCCACCCCGAAAGTGCCGTCCCGTGACTCTCGGCCAGTGGTTAGACCACCGGCGCCCTCCCGCTGGCTGCACCGCCTGGGGACCAGGCCCGGGGATGGGGGCACTTCATGCCCATAAGGATGGAGACAACAGAACCCAGACCCTGCCCAGGGAAGGACGCCATGGGCGGCTGACTCTGCCTGGGCCCGGGAGACGGCCGCTGAGGAGTTCGGAGCCTGGTGGCCGTGACCTCCAGCGAGCAGGCCAGGCCGGGGCAGGCAGGGGCACACCCGCCTGGGGAGGCCGCGGGGAGCCTGCCAGACCTGGATTTGCAAATGGAAGCTTCCGGAGCAGGGGAAGTGGGGGCTGTGGCTGTGGCTGTGGTTGCTCCAGGCCCTGAGCTCTGGGCTGGGGCAGCAGCAGGGCCAGGCTAGGACCCAGGCCTCGGCCTTGGCTGGAAGCAGGGTCCAGGCAGCGGCTTGGAGGAGGACTGATCCTGTCCCACAGGAATGAATTAGAGGCACCCAGGGGCCCTGGGGCGCAGGGCTCGGATGGAGGTTTGGACAGAGAGCCTGTGGGGCTCAGACCCCCCTAATGACCCAGCCACGCTGCCTTCATTCAATCTTCCATTCCAGTGCTCTGAGGGTCCTCCACCCCCATCCCTCCTCCTCCATTCCCCCATCCCCTCACCCCCACACCCATCCCTAATCCTCCACCTCCGCCCCTCATCCTGACCCCCACCCCTCATCCTCTGCCCCTCATCCTCCACCTCTCATCCTGACCCCCACCCCTCATCCTCCACCCCTCATCCTGACCCCCACCCCTCATCCTCCACCCCACCCCTCATCCCTCTATGCAGGGAGGACCATGGTCTAGTCCTACAAGGGGGACACAGCCTAGTGCTATGGGGAGGACCCCAGGTCGCCCCGGAGCTGGTCCAGGTGAGCCCCAAGTTTACCTCCTCTTTCCTAGCCGTGCTGGGGAGGCTGCTTGGTCTCCAAGCTGGTGGCTTAGACCACGGGTCCCAGGACACGGCTCTCGGGGTTCTTTGAGCTCTTCCCCCTCTTCCTGCCCGTGTGTCCCGACCCCCTCCCCTTGGTGCCCCCCCGTGGTACCTGGGGAGCGGCGGGGCCAGGCCGGCCTGGGGAAGCCATGTCATCCTGGCCCCGGGGAGGCTGGGCGTGCGGTGCCGTCTGCTCTGGCCTGGCTGCCCTCACACACACTTCTCACCAACAGGGGGCAGAGGCATTGATCCCCAACTCCCCCCTCAAGGTCAGCCCCTCTGCTGCCAAGATCTAAGAAAGGATTCCATTCCAGCCACATCTGCTGCCAGCCTGGTCTGCAGTGTCCCCTCGACCTGGGCCGCCTCCAGGGCTGTCACCCGGGGCCTCAGATGGAGCTCGAGAGGCTGAGGGGTGGGAGCCTGGTCCTGGAGAGGCTCCCGGGTTACACATGGGGAAACTGAGGCAGGAGAGAAGCCGTCCCCAGAGCCAGGCGTGGGGCCCAGTGGGGCCCTCCGGTGACGGGTCCAGGGAGCCGCTCCCGGCATCCTGCCTGCCTGAGCCGGGACACTGGAGCTGCCTAAGGAGGCGGACGGCAGCCTGCTGTAGATGGTGCTGTGTCCCCGGCTGCTACTCAAGCCCTGCTCAGAGCCCCAGGGCTCATCCTGACCAGCTTAGGCTCCAACGTGGGCTCCAGAGGCTCTGGGGCACATTGAGCCTCTTGGTGGCTGGGCCCCGGGCACCTCAGCGACTCCTAGACCCTCTGCTGGGGCCTGTTCCCCATTTGCAGTGGGAGGCAGGCCCGGCCCCAGCACTGTCCTCTGTCAGCCATGACAGAGTAGCGTGTGGCTTCTGATGCACTTATGATAACACCGATTCTGTCCTTTTTAGAACTGTGGTGGTGTGGTTGTAGTAACCTCCGTGACAGGTTTAATGAGAGTTGCTTTGAAGTATTTTAACAGGTTTCAAGACTCATGTGCCCAGCCCCAGATTTAGCAAATGTTCATATTTTCCTAACTTTTGCATGAGGCCTCGATTCCAAAATGTTGCAGAGGATCTGTGTAATCAACACCGTGGAGTCTGCACAGGGAAGGACAAAGGGATCAATGGGACAGACGGAGCGCAAGCAGACCCCACGCAGCAAGCAGAGCCTTCGACAGGGAGCGGAGAGCTGCCACAGCCAGCCTGGGCTCACGCAGGGGAGGCAGAGGACAACATGGTATCGAGGGCCGCTTGTGGACAGAGACCTCTGAGGACCCAAGAAAGCATGGTCGTAAGAGAAAAATTTGGAAACTTGCTCATCAAAAACAACATTAAGGGGCTGGGAAGGTGGCTTAGTGCTGGAGTGCTTGCCTCACACACATGAGTCCCTGGGTTCGATTCTTCAGTACCACATACACAGAAAAAGGCAGAAGTGGTGCTGTGGTTCACGTGGTAGCATGCTAGCCTTGAGCAAACGCAGCTCAGGACAGTGCCCAGGCCCTGAGTTCGAGCTCCAAGACTGGCAGAGAGAGAGAGAGAGAGAGAGAGAGAGAGAGTAACTAAGCAAGCTGTATGCTGGTAGAAAATATTCCTAGCACACACAGTGCGTCTCTCCCAGTTGCTTGGGTTCCGGGTTTAGGAGCTCCGTGCGCTTCATTTTCCTATTCTTCTACTGACCGGCACTTAGGCGGCTTCCAATTCGGGGACGTTAAACAGTCCGCAGTGTCCATGTGAGCGCGTCTCCTCTGGTCTTGTGCCACTGACATGGAGGGCTGGGCTGCATGCATGGGCCTTCCTCTTCTTTAAAGGGTCAGTGGGGTCTACCTCGCGGCCAGCAGCCGGCCGGCCTGCTGGGCCAGATGGGAATGCCCACAGCTTCGGAGGCCGAGAGAGAACAGCGGCAGGATCCAGGCTCGGCCTGCGCGTGAGCGCCTCGCCCGCTCAGCGGCAGGATCCAGGCTCGGCCTGCGCGTGAGCGCCTCGCCCGTGCCGCCCGCTCCTCTGCCCCTGGCCTCTTCGCGTGCACTCCCTGCAGGTTCCTGCTCACGGCGGAACGTGTCCCGGTTCTCTGCTGTCCGGCCACATTTCTAGTATTTCTTATTTGTCTCTTAAATTTCCTAAGCAGTGAAACTATCTTATCTTAAAATAGCAGTCACGTTTCTTTCCTTCCAATGTTTACATCTAGCACATTTCTCTTCCTTCGCTTTGAGAAGAAGTGCCATAGAAATATTGAATATGAGCAGCAAAGCTAGCAAACAAGAGATTC